AGCACCAGTCCTAAGTTCATGGTTACCAAGTTTTAATTCTAATTACTAAACTTCTATTATTAAATAATACTTGATTATAATGCTTGACTGCTTGACTGACTGATATTAAGAGTGTAGTTTCAGATATTTAAAAAGCTGTACCATTTTACAAACACTATATATGTTTGTAAAATGGCATAACTTTTGTATATATATATATATATATATATATATATATATATATTATTAGTATTTTAGTCTGGCGAGTAAACAAAAAAATATATACTAGCCAGTGGCGATTCAATTGCCAAGGTCCATTGAGGGTTGACTGTATAAAAACAGTTCGTGCTGCACTGTATTTGTTTTGACCTATCGTATCTATCATATGTTGTTGCCTTATTAAAAAATATGCTATACATTTAAAGTAAATGTATTTTAATTTTATAGTATATACTATATATATACATTCATGAATGTTTTTAATGAATGGATTTTATAATAATACAAATAGCAATGTGTAACATTTTACCATATTTAGTACTTTTCTTTTATTTGTTCCCCACAAAATATAGTTTTTTCACTAAATGTTTGGATTTCTAAAATTATTGTGCACTGATTTTTCTAGAATAACTTTTGCTGCCGAATTATCCACCTAGTTTATGATACATTTTTGTCATAGATTATAAATATACATAGGCCTATATTTTTTCATATTTGTTTATTTAATTTTTCTTTATAATGAAGTAGTCTGTATCTAGTAGATTGTGAAAGAATGATTATCTGTTCCACACACAGAGATATATAAATTCTACATTTATTTAAATGAGGGAAAAAAACTTCACTGGTATCGGATCGGAATCGGTATCGGCCAATACCGAACCCTAGGTATCGGTATCGGAGGCAAAAAAAGCAGATCGGAGCATCACTAGTTAGCATAGTTTGTCAGTACAGTCAGTAACGTAGCAGATTGAAAATTTAGTATCTTTCTGCAGTCCAATAGATGGCAGTGCTTTGGTAGCTTGAGTCTGTCGAATGATGATTAAACGCTACGATGTCACCTAGTTGGTGAGACTCAATGCTATAAAGTAAATAAACAATGTCCCCGTCTTTTACTCTCACAATGAGCTTATTATACTCGTTTGCTACATAAGTAGGGCCCTGTGATTTCCACGATGTGGAAAACGCAGACGGAATCGCGGAATCCATTCATAAAAACTGATTTTATGAATTTCATGGAATTTGTCTTATTTTGATGAATAAATAAAAAACATGTCAGTAGGCCTACACTTAAATCAAATCGTTATATAGACTAGTGTCTGTGAATTTTAAAATGCAAAAAAACTATTTTAAATACGAATGCTCATGTTCTGCATGTTCATTTTATTACCAGAATATACACAACACAGAAATTGTGAAAAAATATTATTCATTATTATTATTTATTCATTTTAGATGTTTACATTTGGAAAAGCTGTGCTTCCTGCATAAACCTGCCCAGTTGGTTTGCAGTAGCTTGCACTACACATTTATCTTGTTTATTTTTTTAATTCAAGTTTTGTTCTATTTGTGTAAGTTATTTATAATAAGTGAAGTTTACTGTTAAATGCACTGATGTCACACTCATTTTGAATAATAAAGTTTATTGTTAAATTGTTAAATACCCTGCTTTCATTACATAGGCCTATTTGTCACATAGTGACACAAGTGTTTGATCACCACATTTGAGTTTTCATTGCAAAAAGTGTGTTTGTGTATATATATTCTGTTTATGTATATACTGTATTCTAGATACAGTACCAGTCAAAAGTTTGGACACATGAATGGGAAGTGTGTCCAAACTTTTGACTATACTGTACTGTTATGTAGCCTACACATAAAGAATATCAGCCGATATATCGATATCTGTATTTTTTTTTTACTCCCTAATATCGGCATTGGCCCCAAAAAAATCTCTATCCCTCCCTCCCTTCCTTCCTTCTATACATAGATTTCACCCACTTTCCCTGCTGTTTATAATGCATATCTCTTTAGAAAACTCATGCTGTCTGTCTTACAATACCCAGCCACTTTCCCACCCTCTTCTTCTGCTTTTGTTCGCTCTTTTATCTCAAAGAATGTTGACACCCACTGCGCTCTGATTTTAATTCAGTTGATTGACAGCACTTGTAATAGCAGCAGCTGTATCCATTACCGTGATCATGGCTTCCTATGCTGTGATTAGTTATGATGCAGCGAGAATGAATATGGGTGGAGTGTGAAAGAAGGGCCTCAGGGACTCGTCCTTTATATCCATGATGCACCATATGCGAGATGGGAGATGATATTTGAGCTTTTAGCTGGTCGGAGTGGAATGATGACATTTTCCTCCTTGAAATAACTTGTGGTATCATACATAAAACTTTGCTATACTCATATTAGGGCTGGACGATATGGCCAAAATTAATATCACAATATATTTCTTAATTTCGGTCGATACGATATAATTCCGATATCGATATGAACACTATTTATCTGAAATAGAAATCTTTTGTAACATTATAAATGCCTTTATCATCACTTTGTACTCAACTGTTTTAAATATTGATAATCAGCAAATCAGCATATTAGAATGATTTCTGAAGGATCATGTGACACTGAAGACTGGAGTAATGATGCTGAAAATTTAGCTATGTATGATCACAGGAATAAATTACATTTTAAAATCTATTCAAATAGAAAGCAATTTTAAATAGTAAAAATATTTCAACATTTTACTGTTTTTGCTGTACTTTGGATCAAATAAATGCAGCCTTGGTGAGCAGAAGAGAATTCTTAAACAAAAAAAACTGTTCAAAAACTTTTGACTTGTAGTGTAGGCTGATTATTTTTATAGATTGAAACAAATGTGCTTCAGCCAGAAAAAAGGGTATGAAAAGTGCTCCGAGTCGCTGCAGAAAACAAAAAAATTGAACAA